ACTAGTAGGATCATCAATAAAGTTGTTTGTTTTCCCCCCAGGAGGGTATTTGATACCCAAGCTAAACCTTGAATGCCATATGGATGACAATGAACTCCTGATCCTCCTGTCCCTACCACTCAAGTATTAGGATTATAAGCATGAGCCATCATGCCCTGTCACAAATATACACATATTTTTGAAAAACATATAAAGAATTGTTTTCTGCCTGTGTCTGTGTGTGCACACGCTTGTGCTACTTTATGTATATGGAGGCCAAAAAAAACACCTTTAAGAGCTGGTCTCTCCTTCTACCATGTAAGCTCCAGGGATAGAACTCAGGTCATCAGGCTTGGCGGTAAGCACCCTTTTTCACTGAGCTAATAGTTTATTAATTTAACGTGTTTGATACGCATATGCAATTTATCAACTTTGCCTTATAAGTCCACATTCATCCTTCACTATATACTCTGTGATCATAGAAATAATTTCTCCTTTAAGTTAAACAGGGATATCAAAGGAGAAAGGGACCTTCCAGCTGCTGCAGAGTGGGCAATGGTGTGGCTGCAGAACATCCAGAAGAACACATGGCCTTGGTGTAGTCCCTTAGCAAACTGCAGCCTAGCCTAGAGATGGCTTTCCTGAAACCCTGTCCACTTAGAAACTGGGCCCAGCAAGGAAACAGTCAGCACCAGCATGCCAATTCTCTTTCCATCCCACACAACTCACCTGCCACCTGCCTCCTGCCCCTGGACAACTCTCACAGCTGCATTCCCTATGTTCCTTCCACCCTGAAGGCCTCCCTTCATCTACCTTAACAAACAGAAGAAAACCTTTGTTGTCATGGTTTTTGCAAAGGATTAATGAATGTGATACCAAAAGCAAGATCCATAAAAAGAAAAACAATTATGAATCAAATGTAAACACTTGTACTTCAAAAAACATCACTGATGCAAAGTGGGCAGCATAGGAAAATTTAGGTCATTCCCTCCATCAAAATAAAACCTAAACTAGATATAGCTGGAATTAACTCTTTTAGAACTTTAGAACTTGATCAGGTTTGTTTTGTTTTGGGGTTTTTTGTTTGTTGTTGGTTCTTTTTGGTTTTTTTTGTTGTTGTTGTTATTGTTGTTGTTTAGTCTTTTTTGAGACTGGGTCTTCCTGTAGCTCCAGCTGGCCTGGAATTCACTATGTAGAAGACGCTGGCCTGCTTCTGCCTCCTGAGTGCTGGGGCCACCACACCCGGCTGTTGTTGTTTAGGTAGACTCTCACTAAATGACCTGGAACTCACTACATAGACTAGGCTGGCTTTGAACTCACAGAGATCCACCTACCTTTGCTGCCCAAGTGCTGGGATTAAAGGCATGTGCCACACATCTGGCTGCTAATCACATCTTTCTAATAATCAGTAGAGTGCTTTGTGAGAGATGACAACTGATCTCTCAGGCATGAGAGATACGTAAAGTGATGACCATGCTCGTTCCTTAGAACCATCCCCCAACCTCTTGTGCAATTATTAGGCCTGCAGCCTGTGTTCCTGGAGTGGCTGACCAGTTCCAGGGGAGACAGTGAGGACAATGTGCATTTGGATTGCTCTGGCTGTGCCTTAAGGCACTGGCACGGGCAAAGCCATCAGTGTTAGTTGTCTCCACAGCCACAGTCTCACTGGTGGTATCATCAAAACACTACAGCAGGCAGAACAATCTGTGCTCCCTTTTGGAGCCAGACTTTTAGGGAAATCTTCCATCAGGTCACTTGCTGATCACAAGGCTAATGGAAGACAAGCTAGTGGCTATAAAAAAAGGAATAAACACTTTGTAAAAATAGCTTGGAAAAGTAAACTCCATCCTCAACAAACAAAAATCAGCAACTAAAAAAAAATCAGCAACTGCTGAGATATAAGAGAAATATATTCACAGATTTAATATATCACGATACTCAGAATGTCTCGTTTTCAACCAAATAATTATAAAAAACATTCAAGAAAAGGACCAAAATCATCACCGAGGAAACCCAAACAATTGAATTATTGAAAAATGTTATATCAACTCTAACCATTCCAGAAAACACAGGAAACCATCGACAACTAAAGGAAATCAGGGGGGAAATGTATGAGCCAAATGAAAATATTAATACCTAGAAATTATGAAAAGGAAGTAAACAATGTTTTTTCACATCAAGGACACTTTCAGGAATTTAAAAAGATAGCAAACTTGGGGCTGGAGAGATGGCTCAGCGGTTAAGAACACTGGCTGTTCTTGCAGAAGATCCAGGTTTGAATCCTGGCACCCACATGGCAGCTAACAACTGTCTGTAACTCCAGTTCCAGGGGATCCGACAGCCTCTTCTGACCTCTGCGGGCATTGCACGACGCGGGTGCACTTACCTACATGCAGGCAATACACACATACACATAAAATAAAAATATTTAAAAAGAAAAAAAGAGAGAGCAAAAAGCCGGGCGTGGTGGCGCACAACTTTAATCCCAGCACTCAAGAGGCAGGAGCAGGCAGATCTCTGTGAGTTCTAGGCCAGCTGGGGCTACAGGGAAACCCTGTTTCAAATGCCCCCCCCACAAAAAATAGCAAAATTAAGAAAATAGAAACACAGTAAGGAAAATATTTGTGAATCACAGCTACCATAACTCAACAACAACAAAAAGCATATGGACCAATTAAAACTGGGCAGAGGATTTGAGGAATACATGTTTCTTCAAAGAAGATCTACAAATAGCCATTAAATATACAAATAAGCCAAACATCATTTGTCACTAGGAAAATGCAAATCACAGCTTGCAATTAGATACTACTTCATAGCCATAAGAATGACATTTTTTCAAAGTACAAGAAAATCTATGACTATGTTAAATGGTACAGCAACTGTGGAAAGACTTGTGATTGCTCAAACATTAATCATGAATTACTATTTAATACAAAAATTCCACTCCTATGTTTTACCCAAAGAAGTGAAAACATAACAAAGCAAATAGCTTTATATGCCAATGTTCATAGCACTGTTACTCATGACAGCCAAAACACAGAAGCAATTCAAATACACATCAACAAGTGAATATGCAAAATATAGCATATATCTATACTATGGAATTAATTGTGTCCCCTCAAAATTCTTATTAAAGCTCCAACCACCCTTAGACTATGATTGTATTTGGAACCAAGGCTAAAGAGGAAATTAAGTTTAAAAGCAATCATATGGGTGGACCTAATCCACTAGATCAGTGTTCTAAGAGAACAGATACCATGGATGTCTGTATAGGGAGGAAAAATGATGGGAATACATAGGAATAAGGAACCCATCTGCACACTGAAGAGAGAGATTTTGGGAAAAACAACCCATCCCATCCACACTTTGATTTTAGATGTCCAGCTTCCAATATTGTACAAAATTAATTTCTATCTCTTAAAATCAACCAGTCTATATTTTTATATTTATATTTATATTATGGCATCCCTAGCAAATTAATATACAATGGAGTATTATTGAGCCACAAGAAGGAACAAAGTTCTAAATTTGTTACAATAGGGACAAAAATTGAAGGCGGGGAGGCTGGAGAGATGACTCAGCAGTTAAGAGCACTGGCTTCTCTTGCAGAGGACCCAGGTTTGATCACCAGTACCCATATGGTGGCTAACAACTGTCCTTAACTCCATTTCAAGGGTATCTGACACCCTCTTCTGACCTCCATAGGCACTGCACGACATGGGTGCAATACACTCACACACAGAAAAGAAAAATAAAATATTTTTTAAAAACACCTTGAAAATAGCTGGGCGTGGTGGCGCACGCCTTTAATCCCAGCACTCAGGAGGCAGAGGCAGGCAGGTCTCTGTGAGTTCAAGGCCAGCCTGGTCTACATAGTGAATTCCAGGACAGCTGGGGCTACAGGGAGACCCTGTCTCAAAAAGACTAAATAAATAAAAATAAATAAATTTAATTAAAATAAAATTCAAGTTCTTACTATATTGCCCAGATGATTCTCGAAATGCTAAACTTAAATAATTTGCCTGCCGTGGCCTCTTGAGTAGCTGGGATAGTGGTGTGTTACCACAACCAGCTATCATAAATTTTAAAAACATACTGAGGCCAGGCATGGTAGTGCACACACGCCTTTAGTCCCAGCACTTAGGAGGCAGAAGCAGGTGGATCTCTGTGGTTCAAGGCCAGACTGGTGTACATGATGAGTTCCAGGGCATTTGGGACTACAGGGAGACCCTGTCTCGAAAAGACCACAAAAGAAAAGGTCAAAGATTGAGAGATATTTATACCACTTATATTTATGAAAAGACTTCTAACCTGACAATACAAACACTTATCGCTCAATAATAAGGGCTATCAAAACCGCAGAAGATTTGGAGATAGGGAGATGGCTCAGTGAGTAGAGTACTTGCTTTGCAAACCTGGGAACATGAGTTCAGATCCTAGGAACCTATATAAAACTAGGACTTAGCAGTGCACACCTGTAACCCCGGCACTGCCGAGTAGAAACAAGCTCATTAGCCAGCCAATCAAGCAAAAATGGTGAGCCCCAGGTTTAGTAAGAGACCTTGTCTCAAAAAAAAAAATAAAATAAAATGGAGATGCTGGAGCTCCAGAGGCAGATCAAATGCCCTGGCAAAAGCAGCCCTGGGAGAAACAAAGCTTGACCTCTATGCCATCA